CCATCGTTTAGCCTGAAGAGAAGGAATCTTCAGAAAAAAAATGTTCTTTAGTAGCGGACTACCTCCCGAAATCCCCAAATTCCCTCATTCCTACCTTGTCATTGCCATTACCTGAATAACAGTAAATATAAAAACAAAATGTTAAGCAGTAAATGCAATCTGCATCTCATCTCTTAGATATCTCTTAAATACTATTGTATCTGTCTTCGCACCACATCCCCTGAGCTCCTGTGCTGGGCGGGGCTTCAACTTGGGGGGGGGGAAGAAAAAAGAAAGAAATGGAAATGGAATGGTTAAGAAAAGTAAAAGACATTTAGCTAAACTGTGCGATCCCATCTCGTACAGTACATGCAGAAGAGAATAGCACTTTTACAGTCGCCTTGGTAACATATCCATGGCAACAAAAGTGCGATGTTGAACCTTGGAATCTGATGGACTGCTCCTATCACCAGTGGGGTAATGTGTGCAAAACACTAAGAGTAGCCTCACGGGGACCAATCAGTCTACATGAAGTAGCAAGGTAGCCAGCAGGCCTGGAGTGAATTTGGACAGAACACAGTCAAAACAGATTTTAAATTTCTTTAGAGCCTTTTTGATTGTTACTGCAGGCCCAGGTAAAATAATGGAAAAATCCATTTTGGAGCATACTCCTAAGCCTGTGTGTCAGAAACCAATAAGTACCTAGCTTTGCAGTATGCAGTACATCACATGATTACAAAAATGGCATATTCTTCCCTTATTCCTCTTGTAGTTGTTGAAGAAACAATATTATGAAGGTTCACCTGACAGAAAAGCGCAATAAGCGAAATCAGTGTTCTCTGGTTATATTTAAACCCCCAAAATTGAAATTCTCACATCCAGAATGGGTTGTACTAAACTGTTAATTGAAGTTTCCTGGAAAGTGGAAGGCTGCATGTTTTGTTGAACTTGAATGTTATAAAAGTGATAATTGCATCAAAATGTTAGTGGTAAAACTGTGCATGCACACAATTGAGTTACAGTACACGTTCCATTGCGGATAAAGATTTAAAATGAAAACTGTTTTCTTTTGTAGTATAATAAACATTGGCAGTACTTCAAAAATATGTCGTTAGGTGTTTATACTGTGGATTCCATAATCTTTTTTTCATGTCTGGGGTGCTCAACAAATAAACCAAATGAAAGAAAATACCATTAAGATGGTCCATTTAGTTTGTTTTTCTTTGGATCCAGCTAACTAATGGATCCAAAGATTTCATACAGACATTTCCATACACCCAAAACTAAGATAAATGAATGCTTCCTGTTCTCAGTTTTAAATGCACTTCCACACGCTTCCACTTCAAGCCTCTGGTGTGTTTTTAACTTTTTAATCTGAAGAAATCCGGTGCGGTGACTTTGTCAGTGCCTTTGAGGATTTTAAATACTTGTATTAGGTCAACTCATAGTCGTCTCTGTGCAGGTTTGAAACAGCTCAGTTCCTTCAGCCTATCAGTACGAGACATTTTCCTTAAGCCTAAAGAGACTCAGTTCCTTCAGCCTGCCAGTGTGGGAAACTCCCTTCAGACTAAAGAGACTCAGTTCCTTCAGCCTGCCAGTGTGGGAAACTCCCTTCAGACTAAAGAGACTCAGTTCCTTCAGCCTGTCAGTGTGGGAAACCTTTCTGACTAAAGAGATTGAGTTCCTTCAGTCTGCCAGTGTGGGACACTCCCTTCTGACTAAAGAGACTCAGTTCCTTCAGTGTGTCAGTGTGAGACCCTCCCTTCAGATTAAAGAGACTCTGTTCCTTCAGCCTGTGTATGACATCCCCTTAAGCCCTGAATTTAATAATAGTTTAATAGGCTATCAGTTTGATGTGGCAACATGGAAAGTGCTACCAAACTGGATTGCAGTTAACTCAATAAAGTCATAACTCATAATCCTGACCTCCCTCAGCAATAACACAATCCTGGCACAGCTCCGAGAAGCTCAGTCACTCCGGCTGGGCAGCAGTGGCCCAGCTGCTGAAGGCAGTGTCCTGCTGATGGCCCCTCAGATTCTGTTCTAGGCTGAAGTCAGGAGCAAGTCGTGTTGGCTGTGGCAGGGCGTAATCCTAGCACTGCGTGGCCTTGCTTCCGGCTGCTGCTCTGTACGTCCCGCATCTCCGGATTGGCTTGCAGGAAAGGAAAACGTACTGTACAGTAGGGTTCATGGCTTTTGTCAATGTGTGATCAGTACTTATACAGTATGTTGGCAGGTGGAGACAAGATCAATGGGGACTAATAACCTGCCCTCCTGTCACCTGACCAGCTGGTGAAATACAGTTGTTCAGGAGACAAGTCAGACCAAGGAAGCAGAGTTTTCCATGGGACCCTTGACCTCTGCTAGCTGGGAAGCTTGCAGAGGCTCTGTTATGTCTGTACCATGGGGAGGGAGGAGCAGACAGGAGACCGACTGACAGGCCTTGGCCTACACTTCAAGGACACAAAGTTGAGTTTTTGGAAAGGATTTATTTGAGAGAATACTGTCGAAGAGCAACTCTAGTTTCCAAGAGTTTTGAAGCTCGTTATCAACTTAGCTGCCGAGGTACAGTGTGAAAATGTTTAGTTGCAGCTCAGTGAAAAGCTGAGGCTTTTCTCTTGTAGTTTTGAATATTGCTTTCTTCCGCACTGTAAATAAAGAGCACTGCTGCTTTTGTCTGCCTACCTGTAAAATATCCTTGTTACAGTACCCTGTCCCAGGATATGCCACAATATAAGCAGTGAGGTTGTCTTTCATTCGACACCAAAAGCGTTCCTGTGGTAAAGGAGAGCCCTCCCCAGATCATCACACTTCCACGGCCCCACTGCCTGGCTTGAGCAATGCAACAGTTGGCATGACAACAGCGTCACCATGGCGTCTCCACGCTCATTCTTCCCTCGGGTCTGTCAAGGCCAAAATGGCTGTTGTCAGTGACGGAATCACTCCTCCACTCACCAGCACTGGCTCCGCAGCCAGCTCAGATGGTCTCTACCCCCCAAGAGTTGCCAATTTCATATAACACTGCCCCTGAACTGAAGGGCTCTGAACATGCAGATCGCTATGAGCCATGTTCGTTCTTCTGACGTGTAGGGGCATTTATGTCAGGCTGTAGCTGCTGCAGCCTGACAACAGTAAGAATCAGATGAACATGACAGCCCAGCCCCGATGTGGTGACCTTCTGTTCCTTCACAGCTCTGGTCGCATCTCCTTCTCCGTGCAACGTTTCTCACAGACAGGCAACCTGAATGGAGGCATACCGTTATCTTTCACTGTTCATGTAAAATCGGCTTTATGGATGTTGAAGCTACTTGCGTTGGCAATTTTAACTCGAGTACCAAACTCTGGCCATCTGGTGTTTTCATGAAATCACATGACTTGACACTCAGTATTTTGTCATCCCGAGGCACAATGCTATTCAAACAACCAACAAGCCTGTCTGCTCACAGTTTACAATATAAAAAAACATCACGGATTTGCTCATCGAGCGACAAATTTAAAACGTTATAGTTTTGCACTTTGTGGGTTGGTGTACAATGGTACCACTATCAGTTCACAAAGCACAGATCTTAAAGAGACATAAAATGTAGAGAATATGTTTAATTACATTTTGAAATATTAGCACCTTAGTAAAATATTTGTACTTGAGAATATCAAACTTGAGGTGTGAGTATCTTGTTTAACTGTTGCTTGCTTTGTGTTACACACATATTCACCATGCGTTTTGTTTTCAAGTCTGTTGAATCAGCTATGATAATTACTTGCTGTATGCATTTTCCTTTTTTTTTGGTGCTTTGGAATTTCAGGGCTTGATTTACATCTCAGAAAAAGAATGTTGTTAAAATGTAGTTTATTTTAGGACAGTAGGGAAATAAATTCACTTGTTTCCAACTCAAAACTGCTGTGCACAAGATTTTTATGCTCTCATTGTGCAACAGTTAAATTGGATCTCGTATGCACATTGAAGTACTCTTCATATCTGATATAAACATAGAGCAGAAGTTTTTTTTTTTTAAACTCTCAGAACACTTTAAAACTATGGACTTTTTGCATAACTTAGCAATATCATTTCTGAAGTTATAAACATCAAAAGCGTAAACATTGCATTTCAATCTGATAGTCTGGATTACCGTGCCCTTATAAAAAAATAGTGAAATAAAACATATGTTTGTAGGCTTTGTTAGTGTATTTATATGCAAGTAATTATTGTCCTCCCACAGAAAAACCTAAGAAACGCCTACACCTAGTCTTGCTCGATGAATACTGAAGGATTAAAAGCAGTGCTTGTTAAGCTTCTGATCCTCAGATACAAGTACTTTCTGGATGTGATCCATTGTGACCACTGGGGGATGATCTGCTATTTCCTACACCTTCTACTGAATCGGTTTTGGCAACCTGGCCGAACTATTTTAAAGTGAATGCAAATGCTCGTACATCGTAGTATATCGAAACTGTTAAGCTGTGGCAAATTCTCATGAAGTTATATATCAGAAGAAAATACTTGCGGGAAGAAAAAAGCACAACTTGCTCAGTGAAACGTATGCTCAAAAACCAAAATGTGCTTTTTTAAAAAAAAAAAACAACAACCCAAATGACACGGAAAAGACCAGTCTTTTATTTTATTCTTATACATTAAGATCTGACATTTGTTTTTTTCCTCTCAACACGATACAGCACCACTGAAGACATTATCCCTGAAGTCTAACGGATACAACACAAATCCTCTTCAGTTAAGTCTGCAATGCTCTTTTAATAACAAATCAAGGATAACGTGAGTTTAAACAATTAAAACCTTTTGCAACAGACTGACGGCTCCTGTTCTGGGCTTTACATTTGTATGTACCACCTGATGGGAGTTGTTCTTCTTTGGTAGAATTTGAAGAAGGATTTGACAACAAATACTGGTTAATGGGTCTCGTTTCAAATGGTTCTCCACTACGATTCACGTTCCCCGTCCTGCTAGGCATGGGCTCTTTTTCACATCGATAACACTATTACATTTGATGTCAGCTGTAATTTTAAGAGCGCTTCTCTGAAAAAGGCATACAATGGCAAAAATCGAGATGTACGTAAACATTGAGAATTCCGACATTTTGTAACAACTCCGTCACTCGTTCTCGCAAAACAAAACACAAACTCTAATTGACACACTTTTTAATAGCATTGGTAAAAAGATGTGATATACTTATAATTAATAACATATCATGGTTATATGTATAATACAGGTACAATTTATACCAAACGAGTATTTTAATACTTTTTGCCCATGACGATTGCAACGGAAAGTAAGACGTTGCTTGGCTAATGGTTGATGCAATACTTTTCTTTTTAACACTAGTCTTAACGCTAACATTGATACCAGTTAGGCCAGTATCAGATATCACTTGGCACAACACAAGCCCGTATGTTCGTATATCTGAAATCGCTGTAAGGATAGGGCTCCTGCTCCTCACAGCTCCCATGTGGAATGGATCGTTTCTTTAACTGTTCCGCTACAAAATAATTGGTCATTTTAAAAAGCCATCATTTCACAACCGGTGATCGTATACTTGATAAAAATGATAGAAACATACATTTTAAATGTATGCATTAATAAATAAATAAGTTATAAACAACTGTACAGAGACTCACCACAGTACAACAGAGACCGAATGGGTTAAAAGGAAAGAGAAAGAAAAAAAAAAGAGGTTAATAAGGCCTGATCAAAATACTGCAGCTGCTCTGTGGGGGAAAAAAAAAGTTTCACATTTGAAGAAAAAGATAACAAAAACCTCAGCTTTGTTTATTCCGAATGTCAGAAAGACACATTTTTTCAGAAATGTCTATCCTAAAGAAACGGATCTTTTTAACGGAATTCCAGGTTTCACACAGAAATGCAGAGCATGATCGATGTAAAAGAAGTCCAGAATAAGTTTTTCAATTTACAGGCACATTTCATAGTTCAGGCCTTGCTATTTTGTAAGTGAACTGTAGTGCATATTTTAAATGGCTTTTCTTCTATCCTCTCCTATTCTAACCTGCCTTTCATTTTCAGACAGTGCTATACTTAAAATACCATGGTTCTGATTCATAGCTTATATTCACATTCCTCTGTATTCATGTAAACATTGAAATACTTACAGTGTCGCTATGAAGTAGACAAACACAAAACAAGCTTTAAAAAAAGAAATAAGTTAAAAGTTTTTAAACAACTTGAACGACGCAGGAATGAAAACTGTAAAATCGCAAGGTATTCACAATTTAGTGTTGTTCGCTTATGTTTCGTGGCCCCTGGCTACCGAACTACCAAGCAGGCAACACACAGCTTTGACGGGCCTATGCAGTCATCATGGCAGAAAGCTCCGCAGCCCTTGCACACAATCATGGCTTTCAGCCGACACGAGCATTTCAGCTCCAGTTCATCTGCTCTGCTGCCGTCTGCGTACTTCTGGCCTGACGTTGGAGCGCCCGGATTCGACAAGCCACTGGCGCCGCTTGTGCTGTTGCCCAGAAAGTTTCCTATGGACTTCTCGATAACGGATGCAGTCCTGTTAAACTTGGCGTTACCGAAGTGTATGGTGGAGTAGTTGCCATAGACCTGCTGGGGCTGAGGTACGTGTGGGTTTCTGGGAGGGTTTAACTGGGCAAACGACTTCTGTGGCTCAGGGGCAATGTAGGGAGAGAACTCTGGGCTCTTGAGCTGAAAGGCCTGAATGTGTTCCTTTCCTTCATTTTGCTCATACGGTGTCTGTTTCATACCCATTTCACAGTTGTTGCTCAACCCGTCGTCAAAAGACCCCGGCTCCACTTTTATATTGCTACAGATGTTTGCTGAGGGAAGCCAATTCAGACTCTTGTTGGTCTCCATGGCAACCACTGTTTGCTTGTGATCAGACGGGACTTCTCCATTAGGTGGATGGACTAAAGATTTGTTCTGGGCGGCCTGCGAGACGCTGCCAATGTCATCAGCCTGCTTAATTTGAAGATTAGGTGGAAAAACACTTCCTTTTCTCAATTGATCTGTTGCCACAGAAATATTGACCTCCCCTAGACCTTTTTGTTCCTGCTGCCTGTTGAATGCTAATGCGTTTGGAGTGCTGCGGCCAGATGTGGCTTTCATCAGAGCGGTTGGAGGGCTCGAGTCTCTGACATCAGCCGGGGGAGGATAAAAAAGCCTTTGAGAGACACTAGCCTCAGAAGGAAAGCTGCCGTTTTTATCAATACCCAATAACCCCTTCTGAAAGCTACAAGCAGGGAGAGGCCTCTTTGGTTGTTTAATGTCTGGGCTGGGAGTAATTCTGCCATGTATCAGGTTTCTATTCACCCACTCCTGTACAAACGGTTGCCCTGGGCCCAAATGATTCAAACTAAGATTGCAGGAAGCAATTTTAGATTCTGCCTCTGTCATCTGCTTGCCCTGCTCACATTTGATGTGAGCCAGCTCCCCGACAGGCCTGGCTACCCTTTTGGTGCCATGGGTGTCCTGTTTTCTGATGTGGCTGGGCCCTGCCAGCCCCAGAGCTTGTCCTTTGCCGTCTGGGCTGATGCAGCTCTGAGCGTTCTCCATGACATTTCTCTCGGCAGCAGCTGTTTTGCATACTGAGGTATTCTGAAAAGGCAAGGGCAGTCGATTTATCTCCAGCCTCGTGCCTGTGCGAGGCTGGGGCAGCACTTTCTCCAAGGGCAGGTTGCCTTGCAGTAGCTGAGTCACCAGGGGGTTATTGGCCTCGACTGACGACAGGCGACAGGTCGAGCCTCCCTGAAGAGGGGCCCTCCGCTGGTGTTCTGTGTTCACCGACACACAGTTCTCAGCCAGGGAGCTGACAGCTGCGCTCACAGCCTTGAGAGGCCTTCCTTCCAGTAGGTGAGCTGCCTGGTGTGGATTCATGGGTTCTTTGAAGTCCCCGGTGTCCATATCAGTCGGCTCAGATTTGATCACTCTCGTTTCTGAGAAATGAGAAGAGTCTGAAGAAGAGATCATTCCATCTGCGCCCGAAGCCGTTTCAGCTTTGTTCTGTCTCGCCTCACTTGTATGCTGATGTTTATGGATTACCATTGTGTCCACGCTATGCCTGTCTTTCTCCTTTATCCAACTTTTGGCTTCACTGCCTTGCTCATTGATTACAGCTTTTTCTGCATGTTTGTACAACAAGGAGCTATATATGAGATTGGCAGTGTTCTGCTCAGTGGGATCGCCATCCCTTCGTCCATCCTGCTGGGGTGCAGGTAGACCGTGCAATACATTGTAAGCCATCTGCAGTTTTTTATTGTTCATTCTGGAGGCTGTGTTGAGGACGGCATTCTGCTCTGCTTTCTGGCGGAAGGGCTCGGCTCTGCTCATTATGGACTCCTGCAGGCGCAGGACTGTTTCAGTTTTCACACCTTTGCTTGGCTGAATCCGCCGAGCTTCAGGCCCAGCCGCAGGAGGTGCGTTTGAGTACGAAGCCGAACTGTGATCTACTATAACTTTACACGGGATAGCTTTATTACTGGCTGAGTCGGCTGGAAGCAGCTGCCTACACCTGGCTAGTTCATTTTCATTGGCATTATTGTGGCAGTTTGGTGTAGGAACTTTCTTTACCGGACTCACGCCTGTGTGAGGTGGACCTGTGTTTGAGCTGTCCATTTCGGTTTTGTCTCTGTAATGCTGCACTTCTCTCCTTTCTGAAGCACTATAAGCGTGGTGGTCAGGAGCAAAGGACGTGCATGTCCTTTCAAAGGAAAAGGGTTTGGTGCTTCCCAGGGGGAAGGCTCTCTGGGGGATATTCGAGCTGTCTTGGATGGTACTAACACCAGAGTTGAGCTGCCCACTATTCATGCAAGATGAAGGGGGAGTAATCTGTCCCACGTAGCGCAGGCCAGCGTAACTTGTAGAAGAACATGACACTGTATTAGTCAAAGGGCCTGCTGAGATGGGAGCCGGGAGGCCATCTTTATACTTTGGCAGGACAGCTTTATGGGGAGAGCAAGCGAGGGCGGTTTTGGCAAAGGGTTTAGAAGGGGAGACTTTGAAGACAGAGTTTTGTAGATTAGCGTTGCTGACGGACACGAGAACGGAAGGGCTCTGAGGAGGACTGGAAAACCCATGGGCAGAGACTGGCACTGGCGAGGTACCAACAGCACTTGCAGTGGGCTTGCTATCCGCCTGACTGGCACTGGTCATTCTGAACAGAGGTATGGAGCTGGTGGTGCAGGCTGAGGGAACACTGTGAGGGACAGAGTTTGGCACAGACATACTGACGATAGACTTTGCAATCGCAATTCTGTTTTCTAAAGTATTCAAGCTGGGACAAGAGCCCTGAGCAATGGCAAAGCCCTTTTCGGGGGATCTCCGGTTGGGATTGGCTATGATCACGCCTGTCGGACAGTCGCTTTTCGATGGGGTAGCAGCTTGCGATTCTGTCAGACATCTGTCCTCCTTTGCGCCGTGCAGCTTCGGGCCCTTGACTGCCTGGTGGCCGTGAGCTCTGGCCTGGTGCTTGGCGAAGAGCTTTGCTTTCGTTTGCTCTTTGATATGGGCCAGCGTCCTGGTCTTGCTGCCTTCCGACGGCGTTCCGCCCTCTCCGGAGGTGATCCGCGCGGCCGCGGCCACCGCCGCCGCCGCGGCCGCCTCTCTCTGCGCCCTGGCCTGCTGAGCCCTGGCCTTGATGTCTGCCAGGGTTCTGGCTCCTGTGTTCCTCCCGGCACTTTGAGAAGACGGAGGAGAGGCCTTCGGCTCAGGCTTTGACACCGGCTGAGTCTTGATGATGAAGGGCAGACCAACTTTGGAGAGCTGAATCTAAGGACAGAAAAATGCACTTTGAATTATCGCCATTGGTACATTGTCACAGCACTGTGTAAAACTGTATAAAACTGAAGAGACATGCTCCAAACAGAGCCTAAAGCAAAACCATGCGGTAAAAAATCACACAAGACAAGCTGTTAGTACTGTTCCTTTACATTCCACCTGTTTTAATTTTTTTGAGCAATTATCTACCCGGTTGGGAATCACCAATAGCTCACAGCTTAAAAAAACAAGTCTGTTTTACAGAAAGCAGTTAATGGATGGGATTTAACACCCGCGCAGTGGTAAATAATACAGATCTACAGTATATGACATATGACCATGGGCAGGAAACTTGCACTGAATGGAGTGTGCTATCTTTGGTTGAACATCTTGAGTGATGGAGTGATTCAAAGCCTTTTGAAAGGGAAGACACCTTTGAGGAACCAAGTCCAGAGTGGCAAATGTTAATAAAACAAAGGATTTCTTATCCTTCTTCTAAATGTCTAAAATGGTGTTTTTAACACCAGATACTTTTCCCTCTCGAGATAGCTTTCTGAATCTGAACTTGGTCTTTTCAAATTCAATGATTCTACTAAGGAACAAAATCATTTCTCCACAAACCTTGAGCGGAGGTACTCTGAGCTCCTCCTTGGGCACTGCGTCTTTCTCACGAGCCTGGGAACTTGAGTGAGAGCTGCTTGATTCGCTCTCTTCTATCCTGGCCCGCTTTTCCTTACATATCCCCGCATGCTGCTCTCCAGTCTTCCTCTTGGGGTTCTCTATATCCCTGCTCTCTGAGCGGGCTATGTCAGGAGACCTATTGGGGTCCACTTGCTTAATAGAGTGCGTTTCATCTGCCCTGTGGTGGTGGTTTGTTGAGTGGGGCTTATGGTGTTTGGCCTTTGGCATTTCAGCCCATGCAGTGATTTCTGAAGCAGACGACTTTTCGGCAGCCTGGTGATACTTATTCTGTTTGGAGCCTTTGCCATTGCCATGAGTCTCTGTCTTCTCTACGGGAAGGGTATCAATCTCATGCTGGGGCTCTTTCTTATTTTGTTTGATCTGGGAGTTTTCAGTGGGTGACACCTCAGGTGATGGAGATTCTACCACTTCTGGTTCAGCCGCCATCGTTTCAGCTAGGAGCTGGGCTGGTTTCTGGATTTCAGGTTCTGAGAATGGAGGTGGCTCATAGGTGGCTTCTGAGAATGGAGGTGCTTCAGAGTCGGTCTCCTCCGTGAAATGATTCTGTTTAGCGTCTGCACTCTCAAGCTTCTTGTCAGAATGCACTATGGGATTTTCAGCAGCGGGAGAAGCATAGGGTTCAGGGGGTTTCGATAAAGGTGTTTTTACTTGACTTTCGACATTTTCAATTTCCGGTTCCTCCTCTACTTTGGGTGGTTCTGGAGATACAGGTGCCGTTTTTGTCTCCTGAATTCGATACCCGTTCACACCAGGTGATCTGGGAGAGGAAGCCGAATTGTGTTCCACGGTCTCTACTGTAGGGTTTTCACACAAATGGGACAATTGTACTGACGGTGGTAGTTGTTTGACTGGGCTAAGTGCATCTACTTCTTTCTCCACAGAAGACCCACCGAGGTCTGGAACCCTAACTGGCTCCTCTGTTGACACGGGCAGTATTTCCGATGGGGAGCACAACAGAATGTCTGCCGGACTCTCCTGCACCTTGTTTTCAGGCCACGGATTAGGAGGCATCTCACTTTTGGTCTTTTCCGATAATGGTGGCTGTCCTGAGTTATACAGGTCCGTCCCACTGGGCGGCTCTGAACTGCTAAGGTCCGATTCACCGTCATGCTCTAAACAAATCGAAGACTCCTCTGCCTCCGTTGGAGCTGCCTGCTCGGCTTCCAGCTGCTGCACTTCTGCGGACTGTTCCCCCTCTTTAGCTTCAGGCAGCACTGTACTGCTGTCATCTTCTGAGTCTACTGGAGGGGAGGGGATTTGGTCCAGTACATTTGGAGCTAACTGTGGAGTTGCAGTCAGTGTTTCTGCTTCATCGCTTACTGGCTTCGGAGTCGTTTCTTGGGAAGGCCGAGAAGAGGTCCCTGAGCATGGGTATTCGGCAAGGATATCGGAGTTTTCGGAATCCAGGCCTTTGATTTCTTCTTCCTGGCTTTTCAGAGTGCAGCTACTGGAGTACTCGGAGGTGTCTGATCCTTGTTTGACCTGCTCCTCCAGGTACTCGCAAGCCGCAGAGTCCACCTCCTCTGCTATTTCCTCTTGTACCACAGCTTCCTCTGTGGAAATCTCAGGGAAACCAGAGAGCAGTATGTCTTCAGATGGCTGCCCAGTCGCTACCTTCGAAGCCAGCTCCATGTTGCACACCGCCTGCTCCCCACCTTCTTCACTGGAATACAGTTTCTCCGAAGGCTCAAGCTCATTTCTGTCAGCAGGGCCCTGACTGGAGGTTCCTGGCACGGCCGGAGGCTCTACTGAAGAACCACTGTCCTCAGAACACTTCTGCACAGAAGTGAGAGTCACCGACTCCTCTTCTGTCATGCCCAATCTAAAAAAGGGAACGAGAATGAATGGTCATTTAAGAAATTTGCAATGACTTGAAGATCAGCTTTCTGTGTTAAGATTAGTGGTTTAAGATTAGGCTGGTCAAAGATCAAAGTACACACTTTTAATTTACTTTGTGGTTTACAAAGGTTTTATTAGATTATTATATAGATTATAGGTTTATAAAGATTATATACAGTATAATCTATTATACAGTATATATTGATTGCAGATTATTATTATATTAGATTTTTCTTGTAAATTTGTAGTATAAAATACAGCATAACCATTGCAGTTTTTTTCCTTATTATAAACTCTCCTGTTAACAGGTTATTTCTAAATTTACTTCAGATACAATATAATTAAGAAGGCTTTAAAACGGTCAGCATATGGTCAGCAACGGTAGCAAAAAAAACTGTAGAAATATCTCCACATGTTGTTTTAATATGCTTCGGAGTCGGGAGCATACAGGGCCCTGGCACTAATCATCTTAATGTTTAGAATAATGAGACCGAGGGACAAATTTAACACTTACTTTTCTCCGTAATATGTTTCATAAAATTTCTCCTTCCACAACTCTATCTTCTTTTCTTTTTCCATTTCCTGCCTAATCCGGAGCTGCATTTCTGGGGTAAATTCTCCTGGAATTGTAAATTTTGGATATAGTTAATTTAAAACAATAAAATTTGCTCTTCATATGGCAAGTATTGTTTGATTAAAAGAAGAAAAAAAAAGGTTTACTTTACTTTCTCAACCCTTTTAGCCCCCGTCTTTACTTCATTAATTTAACTAATTTCTCCATTCCTATAAATGTGTTCTCTAAACCACTACAGTCTTTTTCTGGCCCAGAGCTCTACACCATCTAATGTCTTCTTGTTTTTAACAGTTTGATTTCTGACTGTTTTGCTATCAACCAGCGCACTGTGGATGTTCTAGTGGCGTGTGTGTTTCCTAGTCCCGCCTCACAGACACCAGCCCTGCAAGCACGCACTGCAGGCTGGAGAATGAGGAGGTACAGACAGACTCCTTGGACGAGCCATTCATCTATACAGCTGTCGCTAATTATGCAGCCCCACAAGCAGGCTTCAGTGGTAATAAGAGGAGAGGCAAGTCCCTCTGCTGACGGCGTCGCAAGCCTATGGCCGCCTGAAAACTGGCAGGGGCTGCTGTGTCACATGGGGCGGAGAGCCGAGCCGCGCGCCACCACCGGGGAAACCCACAAAATCCACATTTTGTCCCAGTCGGCAAGTAGCAGGTTCAAACCTGCGATAGGTCTGGATCGTATACCTTAACCTCAGGGTAAGGCCCTTCACCTCCCCACCCTGTTCATTATAATAGACCCACTGTACGCGGAACAGTCAGTATTCTCGTTCCAGTAGCTGAGATCGTTGCTTAGATACATTTGTTGACCACACTTTTGGAATTTTTTAAAAAGGAATGAAAGAAACACGTGAAACTCGCACAAAAGGTTCAAAGGATCTGTCCTCATTGAGCTAGGTTTAAAATTGAACAATTAAAAACTAAAAAGGAAATAAGAGCAAAGAAGTTATAAGAAACCTGACAACTTGTAGTGAGAATCAGTAGAGCTGATATCTATGAGGCCCATTAACTAAGACGTCATCTCACACATATATAAATGTTTCGGTGTCAAGGTGAATAAATAGTATTTTTCAGAAATAAGGAGAGCATCGGACAGATTTTTTAAGGAATTATTTGTGCGTGTAAAGTCACTGGTGTGCTAAATACCTTGGCTTTTAGTGCAGAATGCTACTGCCACCTGGTGGGTATTAAATAATAATTTAAAGACTACATTTTGCCCTGGGGTTCTCTCCAGCTAAGAAGTATACAGTTTTAACTTGCAATTAACAAAAAGTAACTAACAAGACTGGACTTTATCACCTTGCTGACATTACTACACTCCAAGAAATTCCAGGCATTGCAGATAAAAACATCTTAAGTATTCATCCAGAAATGGCAAACATATTTCCTGAAATTATAACATTCATTGTTATCATCTACATCTACAGAACTGATGTATAATTGATGGATACAGGCGAAACAATATTTAATGCTTATCTGATGTAATAATAATAATACACGTCAATCCATCTTTATTAAGGGTTAGGGATCATTTGTGACTTGAAAAGGGGAGAGCTTGAAAACATTTTGACAAGAGAGAGGTCACAGCATTTTATTTAATATTACAACTATAAAAGACTGGGGAAAAGAAGGCAGAATGGCAGCAGCAGAATATATGATAATGAAATAAACTAAAGATGGTGCAAGACTTATGCCTGTATGTGAGTATATCAGTATTAATGTGCACAGTGAAAATAACATGTATTTTAATGTTTAATAATAGTTTTATCATCCTTGTGAAATAAAGGCATAAACCAATAAAGGCATTAAACATAAAAGACCAATAGTAACTGTTTGCACACCCTTTCTGTAAAATCCACTGTTGTAGTCTTTGGTGTTCTGTTTTTTTCTCTAACAGGCTACAGTATGCGTAGTTGCTAAGCAACACCCTCCAGAAAGAGTAAATAAAAAAAAAAGCCCAAGTTCCAACGTACCTTCTGCTAGCCTCTGCTTCCACCCCTGAGCAGCATAGGCAAAAAACTCGTTATTCAGAGCGGAGTTGCTGAGACGCAGGACCCCGTCACCTCCCATCTGCAAAGGAAAGCAGGGAGCATAAGAAGAGGCAGCGCTGGTTTCAGAAGACATCTGGGTCCACACCAGCGATGTGCCGCATTCATTTAAGAATAACAGGAGTAATCCAGTGAGGCCCAGCTCATAGATAGCTAATTGGTAAAGCCAAGCAATCATTCTATTAATATTAAACGTTAACGAGCACTGCAGTACACTGTAAGAGTAGATGCGAGTTTACCAATTTTAGTAATAAAACTCATAGCAAAAGGAGTTTAAAGATCATGAAGTAAAACCCAGAGCTGTCAGAATAAATTACAATCTCTCTAACCATTTACATTTCTAAACACTCCTGAGCAACACAATTAACTGTAATTGCCGAGACTATTTCCATGATCACTTAGCACTGCTGTTAAGAGTAACGTAGTCCAGCATTTAAAGGATTGCTGCTGCATAAAGAAACCCACTGCATCAAAAGGAAACAAGCCACTGTAATTGGGCAGATGTGCTCTGTATGACAATTTGCCATCCTGGTTCCAAAAGGACAACCCTCAGTGTCAAAATACAGTATGCATTTAAAAACAGAAGTTAAAATGTGTACTGTAAGTCTTAGCACTAATGCAGATATTCAAGAAGTCTAGTTAAATACAGGCTTACAGTGCTTCCATTTCCTTCTGTTCTGTTCTGCACAAAAAGCAAAGACCAGTACTAATAGGATATTATTGCGCTTTAAAGATTTACAAAGAAATGCACTGAAACAACTTACAATACCAAACAGGTAAGAACAGGTTTCTTCAGATACAAGGATCCGTGACAGAATCAAATTTGTGCATGAGCCCGTGGACAGTCAACAGGCATGTGTGCATGCAGTGCTTTAAAAAATCAAGGCCTGTACACATAAATGAGTTTGAAGATCCCCTCTCACGAAGTGTCCCACAGGGCCTTCAGTCTGTTATGAAGAATTATAGTAATTACTGAGTACAAGCTGGTTGAATGTCTGAAGCAAACAGGTGCTGAATATTAGATTAAGGGTTAAAGAATAAACAGATTATTTTTTCCATATACCATATTGATATACCAATGATGTGGAAAAACACTCGGTGGAATAAATCATAATACAATATCCAAAGTTATTTATTTGCGCGCTTTGGGAATAAGTATCCGCCTTCATTAAGAAGGGACAGTGTTGTGTTTGGCAGCTCATTTCAGACATGCTTTGTGAAGCAAACTTGATGCTGCAAAGCTGGTTCCATACTGCTGAACATATCTTAAGAAAACATCACAACACAAATGCCATAATGTTGTAAGCAACCCAATAACATATATATTCAGTATATACAAGTACAGTATATAACACTGAAAAGAACTGAGAAAGCACACAATTTCAGTTTTGAAAAGTTCTTCATATAATTATGAAAGTGCTATTACTGTTTTCTAGCAGTAATTAACACATTTAATGCCAAAGACACTGTGAAGTAAGAGGTGACATTCATTTAGCTACTGCACAATGCAAGTATCGTGCAAGTCACGATGGCAACAGTGTAAATACTATTAGAATAAACGTAATACTATAATAAATACTATTAGAATAAAGTTAATACTATAATAAATACTATTAGAATAAACTTCTCCTTCAAGACTCCGGGGACATTCCTCCTGGGTTCATGAAAATCTAATGTGCATTAACCTCTGGACTGTGACAATCTCCTTTTAATTTACTTCCCCCAAAGAAACAAGACAGACTGGGTTTAAATTGTAAGTTAAAGGTTTCAGAAATGTAAGGAAATATGAAAAAAAAACTTGAGAGGAGGGAGAGAAATGAAGTACCACACCAAGGACTGCACAAGGCATCACCTTGGCAGGGGAGAAAATGTTCATACATGAGGCAGAGACGCAGGAGTGCCTGTTCGGTGAAGACGCTCCTGGGCCTGGTATTAGATGTACTGAGGGGGTCAGGGCCCTGATCCTGATTGGTCTGGAGTGTAGTCACATTCTACCAGCCTGATCTGCACTTACACAATTTGTCTGGCCCAAATTCTGATCCTCCTCTCCGGCAAGATCCTACTTCCTCCATTACTGTACATCTTTTAAGTCAATTTGTTTTCAACTTGATTATATGTACAAAAAACATCTTCCAAGTTTTATTGAGGAAGCATGGGCACACTATAGCCTACAATCAGGATTGATCAACTGAGTTTCAGCATGTGTAGATAGATACAGGCCACAAGCGAATTACCTTACATCACTACAGGACACCTACTGTACCTGTAGTCCCTTAATTCACAGTCCACACTCCCTTTCTTTCAGAATAAGTCGCTTGATGTACAAAATAATGGAAATACCTAATGAAAAGAGGCTTGTATTTCGAAATAAAGACATCACAATAAAAAGATTCTACAAATGTTTCATATTTATTCCTGTTTGGATTACCAATATTTTGGGCTATAAATGATAACTTACAATCTGTATTCAAATATGCGTTTTTTTCTAAAGCGACAAGAGCGATCTAACAGATTTTGAAATAATTGGTGCAGAAATGGCTAAATGATACGGTATGATGACACCACATACCAAACAAGAGAAAATCGCATCAGGAAAGAGGAACAGAGGTTGCAAGTCAAAGCTTAACAGGAGACAAGTGGCCTCAGACATGACTGCTGAACTGAATCTACACCTCCTTGACTCACTCCCAACACAAACTGTACGTCACAAGCTTCACCAAGCTGATAATTATGGAAGGGGTGCCCACCATCACAGAAACCACTTCTAAACAAGGCCAATCCGCAGCAATGCAAAGCCTGGTGTGATGAGCAGAAATCATGAACTTCTGAGCAAGGGAAGAAAGCAATATGGCCTGATGAGTCTTTCTTTTACTCTGTTTCCTACATCAGGATGAGCTTACTGTATGTTTTGGAGAAAGCCAAAAGGAGCCTTCAACCCACGCTGCCTGTTCTCAACTGTTAAACATGGTGGTGGATCTGTTATGGTTTGGGCAGCCACCTCCAGGTAGTTACTGGGTCCAACTATTACTCTGCATGGTAGAATTATGGCCAAGGGATATGAAGTCATTTTACACAGGTGTGCCCTACGGTGCAGACATTGTTTCCTCAATATGTTTCCATATTCCCTAATTCCATAATGCCCCCATACACACTGCTAAAGAGTGGTTTCATGAACACCAGGATGAAGTCAAACACCTTCCATGATGTCTCCAATCACCAGATCTAAACATCATTGAATCTTCATGCAAAGAGTGCAGACCAGATCTCCACATCCTTCATCTCTCAAAGAACTGGAGGCTTTCCTTCTTGAAGAATGGCCCAATATCCCAGGAGAACCAGTCCAAAACGTGTACAGTATTTCAGTATTCAGAATTTGTTCTGAAGGTAAAGGGTGTCGCAGCTCCATATTAGTTATAAAATATTCATTCATTGCTTGGTATTTCCATTATTGTGTCCACCCCCTGTATAAATAGCAATTGATGAAGCTTATGCTTAACTAACCACAGTACAGAATATGCTTTACCACCTGCATGCAATAATTAAGGAATGCTAATAATGAACTTAATCATTTCAATATTATGTATATGATTGTGAACAAAATCTTGGGTTAGGCAATTTTCCAGGTGTGCATTTCATTATTCGTATAACCAATATTACAATAATATGAGCCTCATAATTAAATATAACTAAACCATCACAGCAAAGACATCAAATATGAATAAACGTAGGGGCAAAAAGTAACCTGTACAATGTAAGCAATTCTAATTTAATTCAACAGGCCATTTTCTACAGAAAACATGTTCTGAGCATTTTATTGCATTTTTACAGAAAGTCTGAATGTTAAATTTTGAGCATAGTACAGTATCTGTCTTCCTTCCTATCTTCATAGCTGTGTGTATGCAAAATGTACTTTTTATTTTCCTTGTGTTACCACACACAGTGCTGAAGTAATGCATTAAAACAATAAGATCAATCTGAAACACTCTGCACAACACTTTCTCATGATCTGGCTCCAACATGCCCAGAATGAATTTGCTTTTTTGATCCTGCTTGTACAACAGGTCCCAGGAGAGTATTATGGACTGTAAAGAATAATAGAAACTGCATACTAATGATACCCAGGAATGTTTCTTTCCACAAGAGGAATTATGCACTTTTCACTTGTTGAACAACTGAGTGGGATTCATGGGAAGTACATGAAGCATCAAGCACAGCAAGGGCTAAGCTGTCCGTACCTGTCTGTCGACCTCTGGCAGTAAAAGCAGGAGGTATTGTTGAAAGTGCTGAGGTAAGGATGCAAATGTGTGTTTGTTGATCAATGCCCGCAGGTTGGTGTTCACTAAAATAGACCCTGGAGTTTCAATGTCAATATCTTCAGCCTTCGTCCACTTTATGTGACCTAAAAAGACAAAAGATTAAGACTTTCACAACACTCAAAACAGCCTTTGACTTTGCTACATTTATTCAGGGATCTCAAATTTACAAACATATGAGTTTTATTGTTGTTTTATTTTATGAATTTATTTGTTTTAGTTTTTTTTGTCATTTTTAATGCTCGTGAAGTCCAATCATTATGATGAAACAGCCTAAAGCAGAAATGTTGGTATCTGGTAATCAAACAAACAAACAAAAAAGGAACACCTACAGTATGAATGACTGGTGAGCAAGCCAGATCAAGCTGCTTTCGGTTTCAGCTAAGGAATACTTCAGCTCCTCCAGACTAACTTCTATTTTCTACATCTGGAACAGCACAATTTCAGTTTATCCCCCCTCTAGGCATGAACTAGTCGGTGTTAAGCATTAAGCAAACCGACAGTCACATCAGTGGATGGAGGGGCTAAACCTGCTTTTCTGAATTGTGCTCTGTTGGACCACGTGCTTCCTTTCACACTGTGGGGCCTGCAGCGTCTTCAGTAGAGATAACCCTGACCAACTGAAATAAATTGGACCTGACTGCATGGTCCAACTGTCGCACAGGCCCACTAAGGTCTTTACAGGAAAGCAGAGACCTTAGTTCATAAATAACAATGTAGACAAGCATTTATAAACTTAATAATGTTAGTTCTCACCCAGGCCAGATTTCTTTAGTTTCTTAAGGTGCTGACTTATCTGCTTCCCAGTTGGGGATCTCTGCTTTAGATCCTTTTCAGAGCTATCTCCATCGCCAAATCCATTTTTAGACTCTGACCCTACACATAATACAGAATAAAAACAAAAAAATGCATGTAATCAAATAACATACTCTAAGAGCATGAAATAAAATGCGGAATTAAGCCATCCATCTATTTTCTAACCGCTTCGTCCAATTCAGGGTTGCGGGGAAGCCCGGAGCCCATTCCCGCAAGAAAAGGGCACACAAGTGCAATTCACCCCAGACAGGGTGTCAGTCCACTGCAGGGCACAGACAGACACACCGGGGCCAGTTTCCCCAGAGTCCGCACCGTGGCCATTAGATCTCGCCACCATGAGTGATCTGGCAGTTTTCACGAATGTTGTGCTTCAGGCCATCAAGTTGTAATGTAACGTGAAAATTATTGGCTATCGGCCTCCCTTTATCACCAGATGTAGCACTGCATTTCATACACAATATATTCACATCACAAACTCCTGATGGGTATTCTTGATTGTGTGGTGTTTCCTTTATCCAAAAGATCCCCTTGGTATAACCAGCAACTACGCCCCATGAAAGCTCCTGGCTGCCAACCAGAGCACAGGAGGAGGTCACTGGACTTGCCGTTCAGGATGGTCCTAACATCTGCAGGATCACTGGTTTTATTCGACGTTCTTTTTTCTCAATCATCAACAGCATGTTAGAGCCAAACAACAAATGCACTGTCTCTGCTTCCAAAGGGCAGTCTAATGCGTTTTTCGCCATTCTTACAATACAAAGTAAGCAATTCTAATTCCTACCCCCTACTGACATCCATTTTTTGGGGGGCTCTTGGTCCCTTTTGTCACAACAGTAGCAGTCAATGTTTTGATTCGGGACATTGAGGCCTTTTTCACTTGCTGCAGTTACACTTCTGGTCAACTACAGGTCCATTTAAAATCTTTCCTTCGGATCCATATATATCGAAAGCATGTGGAGACAGTCCCAAATACAAGGCTATTTAATTAGAGTCGGGCTACTCAAACGCTTCAGAGATTTCCACAGCACTGAAAACAGCCCTGGTGAAGGTGAGTTATGAACTTCTCAATGCTTCTGCCTCAGACTTAGCGCTGCGTTTGACACTCTTAATCATGAAATCCTCCTAAACTGCTTCAAGATCTAGATTAGGTTACTTTTAGTTATCTTGCTGAGGCAACTTGAGGCAATGGGACTATAGAGAGTGTACTCAGATAATCAATTTTATTGGCTCATGGCAGCCCTATTTTTTTAAGATGTAACTCTCCATGAAAACTCCTGAAAGACAACACAACCTAATTTAATGAGCTGTGCTTAATTTAAATATAGTTTTAAAGGACTTGAGAAGAAGAAGTCTTCAAGCCTTTTCAACAGTTTCAAGATGCTGCTCAAATCAAATGACCAATCACTCATGGACTACAGTAAAATGTTATGGCCCATCACATCTTCATTTTCAGAGTAAAAATATTAAAAATCACTTTATTTTGTCCATGAAAAACCAAAATATGTAACCCCCTGCAGGTCTCACTCTGACACAATGTCTCACAGACCATTAGAACCCTGCAAATTTCCTGTTTTTATCTGGGGCACAAGATTTAATTGACACTCAAAACAGAAATAAGGCGAAAGAAAAAAAAATCTGAATGAACAATATATTTCTAGGAACTACTGTACATTGATTCACCTTCTAAAGATAAATGCACTGGGTATAAATAAAGTCCATGACACAGAAGAAACAGAAGTCCATTAAGAGTTTTCTGAGGACAAGACACAGAAAACCATTATGAGTGCCCTAGTTTGTACTCAATGTTCATTGATGTTAAACAGCATGCGTGCGTAGAAATCAGAGATCATGCCTTTAAATAACGAGATTGAAAACAGTCCCTGAACAACATTTACAGTATGAAATATAGTTTTTAAAACTAAATTAAACAACTGACTAGAGTAAACACCTAACTAAATTTCAACACCAGATTGATTGTATTTCATCGGTGGTGTCTTATGATTAATCCAGATCTTAGTGACTGTCACTCAGTCATCATTGATTAACCAGCTTTTCTAACAATATACTGTAAGTGAACTTCAACTGCATTTAGTGAATGACAAATTCCATGCTACTGAAATAACGCTACTGAGATAATGCTTATTCACTAGTTTATTTGCTTATTCATCTGGTTCGGATATGACTTAAGCAATGCTTAAAACTTTGCTTGTCACCATTACAGGTAGGTGAAAAATAAAGCTATTTAGCGATTTCCGACAAGTTATTTTTCAGCGATAGATTTGCTTATTACTATCCCTGTTATGTTTAATACTGGTAAACTCAGGAGAGCGTGTGATTGTATCACTCAACTAAGCACTACATAATCTGCTGCCAGGTTAGTGCTGCATTCCAGTATGCGTGTGAATTTTACACATTTTAACACGCCGCAGCAGAGGTGCAAAGGCAAATGGAGATCCTGATGTTAGACAGGAGTTATGCGAAAAACACATTTTAGAAAGAGACCATCGGCACATAAAAACATGGCCTTCTGAACAACAGCAAGTGACGACCGGAGTCTTTCTTTACCTGATGGAGAGTCTGGCTGCTCATCAGACACCTTCAAAGGAGTCAACACCACACGGGGAACTGCCTTGTTCACCATCATTGACACCCCGTTCCTGCGCTTGTGTTGCTGCCTTAGTGCCTGAGGGAGAAGAGGGCAGAATTTGAAGACATAAGTGTATGGAAAATAATAAGAATAAAGGTGGGGTGTAACAGCTGCAGTTTTCCTTTTTATTTATCATTGTAATTCAATATCCCTTTTGCTAAGTATCGCACTATGTGATAAATCTACATCACGGCCTTTTGAAATTCACATCTTAACATACTAAAAGGCCTGAAGCTCAGGATATCTCCAGGCTATGTGGGCAACTTCAAGAACGTCACTTCAGGAACACTTTTAAATTCATTTTAAACATGAAAAACTTGTATTTTAACCAGCAGGTACTTAAAGCTGAACCCAATGCAGATCAGAACCTGTTGCATTTGAATCTGATTGGAAATGAATGGCTTGATTGAAAGAATGCAATGAAATCCAGCTGCGTGTTGAGACAGATCTCACGGAGGGCAGGCGAAGATGAGTTATTTGAGCGAAATGGGGCCGGGGGGGTCCCTTCAGAGCAGACTGAAAGGTGTTGGCACTCCAGCGCAGGCATCCCTACGGCACTCGCTCTGAACACCTGGCGGGGGCTGTCCCGGCCCAGCGAGTCAGCCTGTCGAGCTCCACCTGCGGGAAGCTACAGTACGTGGAACAGTACCGGAGCAGACAAAAGGACGCACTAACATCTGCACAAACGCTGCAAATTCGCCATCGTCACACGAAGCCCGGCAAGACTGGTGCTGCTTTTGTGACATTCCTTTGCATTAGGGCTCCGTTTATTCTTTCAAAGATCCGCTTATTAAGCTCCTGAAAAGTCCATAGATCAGTTTGAACAAGATGAACACCTGAATTTACTGTACATTTGATTTTATGTTAATTTGAAGGTACCAGCTAATAACAGGGCTCCCGTGGCCCCTATTTAATGTTAATAGAGGCAATATATACTGGACAGTATCGCCCTCCCTTTAGGTAGGTCGGTCCCTTTTCAGGCCATCAAGGCCCATGGGGGAATGGGGGACAAGGGCCACCACTTTTCTTGACCATCCAACACTGGAGGTGGAGGTGATGTGGTCAGTATCACACTCCGGTCAGCCTATTACCCACAGTACTCACTTGGAAAGCAGGCTGAGTGGAACTGGGAGCTGTCTGGAAGGAATCAGAGCAAGCTTCATCACTTGCCCCCACCTGGGACTGAACCCAGGACCTTCCTTCCGGTCAGGAGCCAGACGCCCTTGCTGTCTGAGCTACCGCGGATCCACTCCCTCTCTTTCACAATGTGAAATCTTCAGACAACACAGTTAATGGAGGAATTCTTTCAGCAATTTACTTAAAAATTAAGTTTAATTCCCTTTACATACGTACACACAAGCAGTTCATTTAGTTGTACTTGGCAATCCCAGCAAACTCCGTGATTTACTGTAGACATACACAGCAATCTCTTGGAGATGAGTTCCCTATATAAGAGGATATTTAAAAAAAGCATCCAGGATTACTATCATCGGTGAATTAGAAAACAGAGTTGAAGAAAAGTTATTACAAATATATCTTCATTATTATATTATGGTTGACATTGTTAAGCAACACCTCATACTCAACCTGGTCCTTTTTGAACTCATTTAAAATGTATATTTCAATACAAGATTTTTAAGAGAGATGTTAAATCTCTATCTTAAAATAACTTGTGTCCTCCTGCAAAGTTTTTAGAGCTTTCTTTCATTTAAAACTCCATGGAAACGTGAGGGGTCTGTTATTTAATTTAGAAGGGTTATGCAGAGATGAGACACCTACTTTTGATCTTGAGAGCCTTCTGAGACAGAAAGGGCTTATGAATAAAAATGTTTTTAATTCCATTTATGGAACACTTTACTTGGGAGTACTGTGACCCTGCCCCCTTATTTCTCTGGAGGAATCCATTTTAGAAAGCTAAAGAGTTGAAAAAGAAACTATACTTCTTTGAATACATTATCAGAAAATTCTAGTCTTTGGCATAATGTAATACATTAATTACAATACTTTAAAAATATCATAGTACCTTGTCAAGAATTAGTTGTAGAGTTTGCTGAATTCTGTGAAGTAAGTGTGGACATTTACTCTTTCAAAACTCTAATGCCACTGATACAGTAGTAGTCTGGATTTAAATATAGAGGAACTACAAGCAGATCTAAGCATACAGTAGATGCTTTCAAAGCATAGTAACTCAAAGTGTGCTTTTATCGGCTAGAATTCTGATAAATCCTGTGAAAGCCCTGCAATATATTTAATTTGACATTATTTTTATGACTGCGAACTAACACTATTGTCTATTCAACACACAGTATGGACATTGGGCCACTACAAATGTAAGATAACAAACCATACTCTACACTCCTGCTGAATGAAAGATTTCTGAAACACTGTAACCTTATCAAAAGGCACTGTTGCAAAAACATTGCTAGTAATAAGTTTGTTTTTGCAAAGACAGTGGTAACATTTGAAATGTATGTCATCTCCTTTACTAAGCTTTTTATAAATTACCTCTTCTAAGAAAGAAATAAAGCTGATGATGTTTTAATTGTAAACAAGGTTACAGAAGGGCACGTTTGTTTACATAAAGAGACACTTTTGGAAATCCTATTCAGTATGTTAGGGTTTTTGTGGGACAACAGTGGATTTATGCATTTGTCATCAGTAAAAAGAACAAAGTACAATATGTATCCATTAGTCAATTTAAAAATAGAACATTTTAGAAATGTACATTTGAGCCCAGAAACTCACAGAGAACTCCTGCCCCAGGCCAAACACAACTGGTTGCACGTGGACTCAAATGTCACTTTTTATTGACAGATTGTCCATTTGAAATTTGACAAGTATATGAACAAAATACTTAAATTATTTTACTACGGGTACAGCAAACACTCTTTGCACTTTAATATGAAATTTAATTTAATAAAATTTAATTTAATTTAATATGAAAACCTAGTCATGTAGTCTCTGGTCATGTACTGCAGTTGTAAGGCATGCATTTTCTAATTCAGATTCACACAGTAAATAATGTTGTACAGTAGGCATGTCAAGTTAATGTCTTTATCTCATCGTAAAACTGAAGTGATTTAATTTCCTATTCAAACCCACTCTCTTATTGTGAGCAAATGCTTACTTATACTTTCCCACTGGAGCGATTTCAAGACAAAAACTGAATACATTTAGATCATATTTGTGGCTCTTTAATGCACTTATTGAAGTGAATGACATTTCACAAATACCAGTAACATGTCAGAAGCTGAGACATAACTTTTGATAGGTATGTTCCGTTTGCGTGTGCAATTCAGCTACTCATCTTTTTTTCTCAAACAAAACTGTTTTCACGCTATACTGACAAAAATCTAATCTCTGATGGCATGATACTGAAATGTACTGGTGCGAAATGGAAAAACAACAGTGGAAAAGTATAAGGATAAGGTTCCCAGCGTATACAAAATACATATTCTGATTACAACCCATTTTCTGTAATCAAACGCCATTAGCTTAAGCTCTTGACAGTCCAATTTTAATGCTGTATTTTATTTACATTATGCCTGAGACGCACACTATGGGTTTAACACTGGAGAAATTACACCGATATGGATAATCTTTATTGCAGTTCAGTGTGCCAGGCAGTGGCATGAAATACTTATCAGAAGCCTAGAAAAAAATCACTATCACTTGCCAACAGATTTGTAGTATATTTTCACACGAGTGACAGCATCAGTGATTTATGTAATTCTTTTTTTTTTTTCAATGGGCGCAAATCTTCATTATAGAACATATTGTTTTGTAGACATTTAGATCATCTCTGTTGTCAGCATAAAATATGGATCAGTACATTAGGGTAAAATTGAGACAAAATGCACAAAGCTTTTTACATTCTGTGGTGCGCTGTAGCAACTGCACTTGCTAATTAGAAAATATCAGTTTGCTTGTTGCTCTCTAGTGAACATGCTAATAACTTTGAAGATTATGGACTTTATTTAAGTGTGATGTTCAGCAATTAGGAGTTTGCTGCAAAGACTATTATCCTACAGCACATCTGTGATTTCAGCAATGAAGCACTTCAAGGCTATTCAAACAAATGCAACACAGAAAACTCTAAACACATTATGTGTGATTTAATATTTTTCTCAGGCTTCCCCCACACTGCTCCTTATGCAAATTCAACTTCAAACACAGAAAGAAGAAACCTTGGCAGAGCAGCTTAGTTCTGCCCCACTGGGGCTGAGCAGTAGGAATCTCACACTTAATCGCATGAAAAAAAGGCCGTCTAGAACAAGAAGCCAGCCCGCTATCTGCCGCTGATCATTCTGAGGGAGGTGGGGAATAAACAATGCTCACTCCGGCACCAGTCGTTTCGAGAAAGGCGGAGCGAAGCACAAAAAAGTTTATAGTCCGCGGAAAGAGCGCGGGGCGGAAAAGGGGTCTCATATCGTTGCGAACCTGCCAATGAATTCATCATGAAGAATAAGGCTTGCATGCGGCGGCAATGCCAAAGAAACCCGTCTGAGGGGTTTGGAAAAGTGTGTTTTCAGCTTCGTGAAAACGGCTGGTTTGCCTTGCAGTTTTATAAAAGACTTTTTTACCCAACCAAAACAGGTGATGAAAAATTCTGGTCTGGTTTACAGCACGATTCTGCTACTGACTGGAAACGAGCAAACAAGCCGATACAACACAGCCAATCCCTGGAATTGTACGCGATAAAGCACAAATAAAGCATACACCCCCTATGTACTTGTAGTATGTACTGTACTGTATATACATTTTACAAAAGCATCGTACAGCTTTTCCAAGCAGCAGTCCAGCTTCTCCTACCGCCTCACAACCGACAAAAGCAGTGCCAGTTGCACTACTAGTTTGAATTTTAACTTGTTTTATTCATTCTTACATTTGTTAGGTTCCACACATTTGTCATTAAGTTTGGAAAAAACAAAACTAATTAAAAAAAAAACAAAATGATATAAGCATTACTCAACATTTTCTATTACCTGGCCTAAACGAAGGCAGGTTTTCTAAAACTCTGAGCAAGCTGAAAGCGCCCCTTGTACAATGAATGGACTGCATAAGACAGTGTGGGATAAAAGCCCAGTCTGCATGCAAGGATATTTTGCTCCATGTAGGGGTGCTGTAGGATAATGAAAGCACAAGCCAGCACTCCGACTGGTGTCTTCTTACCTGTTTCAGAGCCTTTTTGGTGTGTTGCTGAGTGGAAGACACGGACTTGTTTTGCACCGCAGTAGTCGTGGTGTTTGAATCATGTTCGGAAGACACTTCATCGGGTAGCTTCATCGCACAGACTGGAATGAAACAAAAAGCTCAACGCAGGCACAAAAGGGTTTGGATTTAGCCGGCAGCCTAACAAACTCCTCACAAGAGTAAAAAAAAAAAAAGACTTTGACTTAACACCACTTATTCTTTCAAGGTATTGTAGTTCTGTGACAAGTTTCCTAGCTCATACTGTACATTGGGCTGTCACATGGTTATTGCTACCCCTTTTCAGATAAAGGCAGTCGTATACATGCACACATACTGTATATATAAAAACATATACACCATATTCAGAACTAGGATATAATGAATTATATTTCATGTTTCCCAGCTATTTTCTGCCATCTGCTGAAAACACACAAGCTGTGAATAGTCAGTCAACTTCGGCCTATCGTCAATCAGGAGAATATTTTAGGAGTTGCAAACTACGGTTGGCATTTGAGTCTGAAAGCAGATTCGTTTGTTTGTTTGTACCTGCTGTGTTTTTTGCTAAGTATCCGGTAAGAGAGGCCATAATTTATACTTTGAGAAGAACCTTGTTTCGTGGCCGAAAGGGCCAGGATAACTGCTTTCCAATCAGACTCCCATCCCTCTCGGTTATGCCCCTTCTCCTGCGCTTCTCCCGTAAGGAATAAGGAGGCCCACTTTTCCACCCTGCTGCTGTGGATTTAATTTTTCACCCAGCTACAGCTGGAGCAGGTCCTCATCCGACTGTGCTGTTAGCTGGAGTCTGCGAGTGCAAACTCATTTGGCTTGGCAACAGAAACGTCGTTAGTGACCCTGAAAATAAAGAACACCTGTCCATATTCATTCTGTTGTGATCCGACCCTCGGAAAGCACTCTGAAGTCAGACCTTTCGATAAATGAAATAAAACCGCCACACCAAAAGAGCAAGGCTGAATACCAACACAGTACGTCTTTCAGAAATCAAATGGCGTGCCACAATAAGCACACAGCATAAAAATGCATATCTAAATCTCAACAAGTCCACAATATTTCCTACAAAAGGGATGCGTTATTTAAAAAACGCTTCCTCTTTTATTTATATGCATAATGCATAAAATATTAAGGCACAGCTGGTCAGCTTTGCATTTCTCAAAAAAACACAGGAAGAGAACCCAGAATATAACA